CTGTTATATGTGTTGTAATAGAAAGAGAGAAACAATACAAACAAAACGCATGCAATGAATACCAGGGATGACATGAATGCATGGCTTAGGCCACAGTCGGCCACAACAAAGACACGCAAACAATTCACTATAATTAACATAAATTGAATCAATTGAAGGCCCGTTAGGTATCGCTTCCACCAGAGGTAGGGCCGGACAGCGGGTCCGAAGGTTGACATATAGTAGTAGAAATACATAATCACATGAATGAACGAGTTTATTAACGGCCCGAACCCGTACTGCACTTCGGGCGTCAGTTTCAACGGAAACCAAATACAAATGGGAACCACTGTGTGGTGGAAGAGATGAAGAGCGGAGATCTGGTGATGACTTTTGCGCAAAATGAAGAATATTGTGTCCATTAGTTCCACCAAACGTGACATCAGAAGAATCCATCCCAAGAATATTGATTCCCTGTTTCTCTCATCTGTATTAATGGTTGCAAAAAATTATTTAAAACTTGCAAATTAGCATGCTAGTTATTTAATACACAATAAAATTAATATGTAGTAAAAATGATAATTAAATACCTGATATGGGATTTTTGGGACACATCCAGGTGTCGATACCGTAATTAGTGATCGACAAAATCTTGGTAAAAAACCACAGATTAAACAAAGACATCAATAGATTATAATGTCTGATAAGTTGTGTCAACTCAAACGCGGGTCTGTTTTTCATAAGCCGTGGGCCCAACACTTTGCAAACATATAAATAAAAACCAATTATACATAAGAAATTCCAGGGCCCGGACCTCATCAATGGATATCTAGATGACTGTGTATTTCCATTAATTTGCCAGAAATTTATATAAATGTAATTTATTAACGAAGAGTTGTTATCCATTGCTTACACAAAACTTTTAATACAACTTTTACCGTAAACTTTTTCCAAATGATAACAAGTTTTATGAGTATAAAAATTTAGTTAACATTGAAAAAAATTTAAAATTACTTATTAGTAATTTCTAACAGTCAAAGAGTAGTAGTTTCTAACATGTATTTTGTCATATGTATTTATAAATTGCAATTTTTATGGGAAAACAATGAATTTTCCCATTTACTAAACGCATACAGTAGTGATTTTTAGTGATAAACAGGGAATTGCATTTAACTATACCACGTATTTTTAGCGGTTAATAGTATTACCTCCAGACTTGGGATGTGAACCGATCATGTATTGGGGGTCAGTTTACCGAAAGTTTATTTTAACTATATTTAACTATTTGAGACGTTAGTAACTATTTTAACTATTTCGTAAAATTGAGTGTATTTTAGCTTAAAAACAGAAATATTTGAGATAGAATTGAAACAAAAAGACATTTTCTCAATGGAAATAAATGTAAAATGTAAAGAAAGAGAAATATCACGACTTTTGGTTTGTGTTTTATACTCAAAACATTGAAATTACCAAAAATGTCGCAATTTTAAGAATGATCTGAGAAGATATCGCAGAGCACAACATGAATTCTTTGTTAAATAAGTTAAATTTAAGTAAATTAACTGAATAGATACTAGATTTAGTGTAATAAACATTAAAACTAACCAGTTATAACACTAGAAAATGAATTTTAGGTTTATTTTAGCATTTTATAACTAACTATTTAAGTAACTATTTGAGGTGTTTTTCATAACTATTATAGTGACTATTTGGGGTCTTATAAACACCTATAATGCAATTCTCTGGTGATAAACCGTTTAAAAATATCTAAAACTATTATTAATTTCAGTACAAAACATGTTTTTCACGCATAATTTCCCCAAAAAATAACTAAAAAATAAGTTATAAAAACATAATTGTCATATTTTAAGCAATAAAACTTTATTAATCAAATTAATAATATAATTGCATAAGTGAAATGTAATAGTGCAATTTAAACCGCTTAGCACAAAATTATCAACCATGGTTTAATAATCAAACTTTAATTAACGATGGGATGTGCTTCGACAGCAAGACTCTCAATACCGCACTCGTTATTACCCCGACTAATCTTAAAGTAGCCGTTATCACCCCAAGTGGGGCCCCAACTATTCTTAACGATCCAATACTTGTGGCCATTTTCCACACCATAACCGACGGCCA